AATTATATTTTATTAGATAGAAATTAAAAAAATTTATAAATCATTAATTAAAAAAGAAAACTTGGAGCCTTTCAATGGAAAAATTCTAATGTATCTTAGAAATATCGGGGATTCTCAACTAATTACAACATATCACATCATTAATTTTGCTGTTTTTTTTTTTTGGTAATATCATTAAATTTTTTTTAAAAAAATTTTGCTGTTGAATGAATTGATGAGGTGAAATTTCTTTTTTTAAAAATAAATTTACAAGAAACTGAACTCAAATTATTGTTAAAAAAAAATGTATTTTACCAGTGACTTAAGGTTGCTGAGCCTCCGACGCAAGTGTGAGGTGGAAAATTTTTTATGAAGTGACACATTGAGAATATCATTTGAATATGTCACCAGCAATGCCAGCAGGTGCACATAGGGCTGGGTATTTTTAAACCGAATTGATGGTTTATTTAAAAATTAAATTGAAAAAATAAGTTTAGTATAATTTTAATGGTTTTTGGTTTTATTTTTTTGGTTTTGGGTTTTATTTTTTTGGTTTTGATATTAATCGAATTTATTTTGGTTTGGTTTTAGTTGAGTCTTTTAAAAACTAAAAACAAAAAATAAATTGAAAATAAGTCATTTAAAAACTAAACTTAAGAGAAATATGATAAAATATAATAAAATATAATAAAATGTGTGATAAAATATAATATATTATTAAAAAAATAATTAATTATTATTTATTTATTAAAAATCAAAATCGAACAAATTTTAAACCAATTTATTGATAACCAAACCAATCAATTTTGATAATTTTAATTCGGTTTCAATTCTCAAAATTAACAAAAAATTTCAATTATTTCAAAATCAATTTCAATTTTAACCAAAAATCAGTTTTGCCCACCTCTAGGTGCACATGAAACTTGCCTTTTACCTTGGACGCCAACTTAAAAGAATGGGAAACATGAGTGCCCTCGAGTCTTTCCGATGAATTGGAATTTTCAGTATTGACAAAAGCAAACACACGCATCTTGGCCCCAATCGTCATTATAATTTAGCATAGTGTCGTGATTTTTTTCCTTCCTTTGTTTCTCTTTCCTCAGATATTTTTCTCTGCCTCGGATTCCTCTCTCTCTCTTGCCATTTACTAATGAGCAATGCTAAGGGTACTCGCTCATAAACACTTTCTTCAACACTAGCCCCTCTTTTGTGGACACGTTGCAATATATTTAAATATCTAAATTGACAATCGACTTCCAAGTTTCAATGCATTTTTTAGCGTTTATTTTAGTTTTATTTTTTAGAATTCGATTTTAAATTTAGATGGTTATATATTATAAAATAAAAATTATTAAATAAAAAGATATCTTAATATTAAAGAGTTATTTTTATTTAATAATTAATATTATATATTTGATATAATTTAAATTATA